TGGACACATATATGATGCACAGTATTAGAATTTTATGCCAAATATTCTCTAGCGGAAGAAGTAAAATGATCAATAAAGAGAATGTAACCAATAAGCTTTAAAGCTATGACTCGCCAAGACTTGTGACAAAAATCAAACATTTTTTAAATCTCAATGCCAACTTCAAACTTCATGGTACTCTTTGTGTTTGCTTAGGAGAAAAAGTCGACAATTTTACTAAAATTATTTAGAAAGTGTATCATAGTATCTTTGTACAAAAAGATTAATAATGAATACAAAAAGCGAGCATAAGGACATATTATAGAAGTTTGTAATATTATGCTTTTTTAAAGAAAACAGAGAAAACACAAGACTACTCACGAGCAGATTAATAGTTATATTGATTTTGTTGCCGAGGTTGTTCTAGACGATAAAATGAAGGATTTTATTTCTTGTTTACGTCAACAACGGTAATGTAAGAATAATGAAGTGCATAACAATGGAAATATGGTTTTACTATACAACGACTGTACACGTTGCAATCAAAAAAAATGAAAAGAAGACGTTACTTGTGTCAATAATGCATGGTATATCGTTTTTTTTTCTTTTGTCAATGCAAAACTATATGCATTGCTATATGTATATATATACTGAAAAGAAAAAAAAAGAAAAAAGAAAAGAATATTGCTCATAATGCGTGTCTCGATCGAATGAGATGGCGACTCTGAAATTTTTTCTTTGTTGATGCACGGTAAGTCAATTGCAAAATCGCCGATTTCTTATGATTATTCATAATTGAAGGCATCTCTTAAATAGTTTTTAAACCTTATATCAGCTTCCATGCTCAAGCTGTACTCTTATTGTTTGGTTTATTTCTTTTGAAAACTTATCCATACCTCTCATTCAATGTCTAGCCTCGTAAATGACAATCATTCAAGGAGAGAATAATAATAACAACGTAGAGACAATTGAAAACAATCATGAGCAATGAGAATGTCTTATCCTTGTGAACATCAAACGCAAAATCGAGAAATTTAAACACGATTTTGTTATAAAATATGTCTGAATGCGATTTCATATGAAACGCATTCAGATACAGTAATAAAAAAATTTCCAAGACATCTAGACGTGTTTCTTGTTTAAACCCCAAAGCGATGCAATTAAAAAAAATACTCTAAGGTACTCATACGATAGAGTTCTGCGGGAAAAAGAACTGGCGTGAGGTGTGAGTGTTGGTAGGTGGATATGAGGTGTGGGTGTCGATGTTGAGTGTGAGTGTGACTAGGATATGGTGTGGTGAATGCGGGTGTGGGTGTGAATTTCTTTCATCCACATTCACACCCTCAATGTGGAAAACTCAGTAATATCCAGTGTCAGTGGAACAAGCAATTATGTTGTTTAGGGAAACTCAAATTAAAGATTTTGAATTATATAATTATGTGATGATATGAATATTGTAAGAGATTGAAATCAACTGTTAAGAAGATATACATAGAAAAGACAGAAACAAAAAATGTTGAAACTAAAAAGATCAAAAAAAAATGGTTGAAGGATGAAAATGACGAAAAATTTGAAGGTGGGATAAACAGGCAATTTACTATTAGTTTGTGTCTCCAAGATGATGAAGTTCAGTTTAGACTCATGCTATTACAGATCAATGTTGATGCTCCAGATTGCTCAAAAGCGGCATCGTCCAATTCAATATAACAACGTATTGATACTTTAAAAGAATGCTATACAAATAAGGAAATTAATGGTTGCTTGTCATTAACTGTAGCAAAGTAAAACAAATACATCTTAATAGCTAACATGAATTCTTAATTTTACGTCATTTTTGTTATTTTTTTCTATAATCTAAAATATCACTTGTGTGTAGGGTGCATCGAGTCTGGATCTGAAAATTTTCAATCGAATGAGTCTAGATCCAGAAATTTTTGGACCTAATGGTCTCTAGCCACAAAAGATTAATCAATCAGATCTGAATTCAACAATTTTGATCGACTGGATCAGATTCCTGGTCTACAAAAATTTTACCGATCAGGTCCGAATGCAAGAAATTTTAATCAATCGAGTGCAGGAATTGTTGAATCCGATGAGCTCTACTTGTGTATGATTTAAAAAAAGAATTTTCTTTCTCTTCAAAACATCGGTGAAGATATTTACATTTAAATAAATTAAAGTGTTGTATGCTAACATTTTTGACGTTTTTTTTCGACGTAACTGTTGTTCGATACTTATTCTTTCAATGTTCTTTTCGACATTTTTCATACCATTCGTTAAGAAGAACGTGGTTAAAAAAAAAGGACAAAACAATGCGAGCCTGTGGGCGTTATTGAGAGTCAGACCGAGAAAATCTGATTCGATTCATTTTCAATCTCTGGTATGAACATAAATTCGTTGAAATACTCACATTGATATATGTTGAGCTTAACGATATAGTACGACATCATACTATGAAAGAAGTACTTCTGTTGAATACAGACCACTGTTGAACCGTGAAAGTTCTGACTGTTAAATCTATTCACAGAGAGTCGAAGAGAAGAAATTCGCGTGTATCTGTTTCGTTAATCTAGATTCGGGTGGGGCTGGTGCTGCTTTCACATATTTGATTAACCTTTCAGGTGTTTCTACATTCATCGTCTGGGTTATTATAGCACTTGTGCACATCCAATTCTGTCGTGGCTTGAAAACACAAGGAGTGAGTACTGATAATTTATCATTTAAAGCAATATGGTATCCCTACGGTGCCTACTTTGGCCTTGAAGCCAACGTGTTCCTTATCTTCTTGCAAGGGTACACAAGTTTATTGCGACCATTTGATCCAATTGCTGTCGTCGTCTCCTACATTCTCATTCCTATTTTCTTGATACTTTTTTTTGGATACAAGTTTTGGAAAAAAACTCGGTGGGTTCAACCGTCCGAGATGGATATCTGGTTTGACAGACGTGTTATTAGCGATGAAATAGCCAAAACAAGCAAGCAAACAATATGGTCACATATAAAAGCCATATTTATTTGACTCATATAGTCATGCTTTCTTTTCTGCAATGTTACTCTCTCATTAGGATAGAAACAATTGATGTTTTATTCTATAGTTTTTGTGAATCAGCTGAAATCAATAAAAAAAAAACAAGAATATCATTTTTCCCTCCTTGTAAAAAGTTATATTAATAAAGAATCGCGTCGAGTTGAACATTTGTTAACAATTTCAAATAGATGCACTTTATTTACACGAAATGAACGTTGACGGGCATGTCATAACTACTGCAGCATGCAGTTGTATGTGCATAGTTATATCATAATTCAAATACTTTCGATGGAATATATTTGAATCAAAACTTCAGCGTTCAATTTTCATGCATCTTTTTGTTTTAATGTCTCATATCGAAGCGAATCTGAATAGTTTAGTAGATCGATCAGCTTCTCATATTCTTGAGTTGTTCCATAAATAATATGCTGAATTATTTTCGTTGGTTTTTTTTCCCCAATATTCATTTTTTCTCATTTTTCATACAACTGAGATGCAGAAAACTGTTCAGAATGAAATAAATTAGAAAAAAAATTCTGTATACGTTTTATTTTTAGTTCTACATTTCACTATTGATTTTTGTTGCTAGCTATTTACCTTAAAATAATACAAACTGAATTAGAAGAGAAATTCAATGACGAATGTAATATCAATATAAATCTTTCCTTAAAAATAGAACGATATTCACATTTTGCGATGTATAAACTTCGGAAAAGAAAAATAAGTAAGTAAGTATTACGGGAGTCATGATATGTCTATATTCAACATGTGCGCATAAGTGAACCGATATATAGAGACAATACACCTTATATGTACATGTTCAGTGAGTGTTCCATATCATTGATATAAACACACGAGAAGACCGGTTTTAAATGGGTATATTTTCAAAAAGATTCTAATACTGCCAATTAACCATTGTTGAACTTCAGCTTGTCGATTATTGAACATGACGATCACTACTGGGATGCGGATGTAGATGTAGATCTTTTTAACCACAGCCAGACTCCATATTCACACTCTCACCAAGAAACAAATAAATATTTTTGAAGTCTTACTGTATTCTTTCTCTATTCCTTTATTTTTCTAAAATGAATAATATTACCTATTACAACGTCATACAATTCGATCGATAGATATAAACATGTTTTACCACCGATACCAAATATATTGACTAATTTACGAAAAAAAAAGTTGACTCCTTTGTAAGAACTCTTTAGCAAAGGAAAATGGTACCTATTTCCATTAAAGACATAAGAATATGAGTGTGACTCTCGTTGTGTATTTTCTTTATATTCACACCTGAATCGGTCGTCGTAAATCATCACCATATGTTCATAAATATTGAATGAACCATGGGCTTCTGGAACAAAAAGTTTTGTTACTGAACGATGCTTAAATTTTTTAAATTTTCTGTCAGTGTATGAAGAGTAGTCTAAAATGTCTTTCTATATATTTTCATATATATGTTTAATACAACAGAGCATATCATGTCGATAGATAGAGAATTGTATGAACTACGTACAGACAATAATACAAATACAACCAGCGGTTCTTATTGTTTTTTAAATAAAATCAGTCTGAGAACTTTTTGAATGCGCCATACAAATGTATACTATCAGCTCAAGTTGAAATAATATTTTCTCCAAACAAAAATGTGTATGATTCAATCAAAATTATCATCTGATACCATGCTATTCATATGAAAACTCCAATAGATGTATATCTCAAACTTGAAAAGTTGAATTTCAAATTTCAGCTATTCAACTGGTAACACTTCTCTCCTTTAATGAGGATTTCATGAGAACACGCATGCACATGGTTTCTCGTTGATACTTGAAACCTGAAGAATAGTCATTCAATTGAATCCAACTTTCAAATTTGATACTACTGCAGGATATGCTTGTACAATTCCAAAGCAATCAGCTGTTATCCTTTTGTTTTTCAAAATCATCTCTCTTATATTTTTGCAGTTGTTCTACGACATCACTAAATATTATCCGATAAAAATATAATGGTGTTCACATAAGCATCGCAAAGAATTATACTGCGTATGCTCACCAACAGCCAATACCAATAATTTTCCATCACCATCCTGAATATAAGAACCTATAGTGAATACTAACAGTATAACGAACAATTCTGCACTGTAAACAAACTTCTCACCAGCTAATAAATATGGAAATTTGTCAGTTCCACGCCGCTGCAACTCTGGTTCACTAGATAATAATGATTCGTCTATCTTTACACTGCCATCAACTAGAATCCCATCCACAATGATTGTATCGCCTGCCCTCACTTGAAGAATATCGCCAACTACAAGCTTTTTATATTCGATCTCGTTTAGTTCACCATTACGAACGACCATCAACAGACTTTCTTTTGGTAAAATGTTCTTACTGTACGATTTGTAAGAAATATCATTGTACCCAAATGCTTTACGACGTGCTCTCATATCATTCCGATTATATGTTAAACCTAAAATAGAATGTATTTTACACTGTGAATGCTTGTGTGTACATAGAGAAAGGCCCTTTGTGACAGATAGATAGATCGAAGAACATTTTGAACTCATGATCATATCCCATTTTAAGTGTTTCACGGTACAAAAAAGCTTTTAGTATAATCCTTGCTGAATTAAAATATGAAATAAATTGCATTTGCTTCACTTGAAAACGAGAACATTACCCGTATCAATCATATTGTTCATGAGAAGAATCAAATACACTAGTATATCGAAGTGTTGTCTCTCATATTGCATAAGATAGGCAGAGGCGATGATTTTCTTTTCCCGTCATATACTTCAACTTTCATTTACAATAGTGTTTTGTAAAATTATTTCGATATTTTTGTATTATTCAAGTCAACTACCGAATGAGAATGAATAAAAGATTATCAGATTAAGAGATATTCTCTCTCAGTATTCTCATTCTATTTACAGGTTTTTCTTAAATAGAAAAACTGCACAGACAATTACCAAAAGTATTACTATTGACGAAAAGTTTAGCTATGTTATTAATCGATAAAAGAAAAAAATATTTCGATTAATATTTGCTTTATTTTAAACGATTTACTCTTTGGTCAATTGTCTATAATTTTTCCAGTGTCGTACATATATTTTCCGAGATTCTCTTATTGAGCGTATAACACGGCTCACTCTCAAAATAAATACTTTTTAATAATACTCTCTTGTGCTGTATTGGGTACAGCTAGTTGAAGTTTTTCATGGCTACTTAATGCTTTCCTATAGCTACTCAATCGACCTACAGCTACTTAATCATTTCACAGCTACTTAATGCTCTTCTATAGCTACTTAATCAACCTACAGCTACTTAATGTTCTTCTACAGCTGCTTAATGTTGTCCTACAGCTACTCAATGAACCCATAGCTACTTAATGTTCTCCTACAGCTACTAAATGTTTTTCTATAGCTACTTAATCATTTTACAACTACTTAATGTTCTCCTATAGCTATTCAATGAACCTACAGCTACTTTATGCTCTCCTACAGTTACTGAATGAAGCTACAGCTACTTAATATTCTCCTACAGTTACTCAATTGAGCTAGAGCTACCTGGAATTATCTGTGACTGTGTAGACATTCAACAGATATTCAAATTTTAGTGTAAGCTTTGCATCATTCACTAGCTTCTGGAAGATTCGATGAGTATCTAAAGAGTGGCATCGTTATATCAGTTAACGAAGAGGTATAGAGACAAGATAGTAATCTATATGTATGGATTTTGTGCATGGTTTTGATAATACTTCATGTGAAAATTTATTCAAAAGTTCAAGTCAACGATATATTGTTACATTTATGATGTTCACAACAAATCGTAATTATTCGTTTTTTTCTTGTGTCTACCAAAATTGCTATGGTATTATGTTTATAATGTGAGTATTTTCTTGGGCAGAATCGTTAGCTTCCTTCAACATTAAAGAATAGCTGGTTTTTATTCTAAGTATCACAAACACATGACTAAATATAGTCTTAATAATATTTGTCAAATTTTACTAGTTTTTCTAGTAGAGGTACAGATTTTTGTATTTCGTCTTCTGGAAGGTCAATATAATTGTACACTTTATGAATTTTGAAAAAATTAAAATCATTGGTTTGAAAAGTTGTTTTTGTATTAGTTCCAAACATAAAATTGGAATCAAGATGTTGATTTATGATGTTAAACACGTTTTCATTATATTCAGATGATAAAAGTGTACTTTGTAAATCGGAAACTTTAAGTTCGAATTGATTATTTTCTAGATAAACTTCTTGTAAATTTGAATGAGTGGTTTATTAGAGTTAGTACTCAATGAGCCATTTCTGTGACCAAAATTTTAACTCTCGCGAATTATCTATTCAATGGATGTTTGTATGAACAAAAGACAAAAAAGTGAAAATTTTTTAATGTATTTGACACTGCAGGTCAATTAATCAATGATTTGCCCGATCGAGGTCATTTTTTGACGAAAAATACCTCAACTAAGGATTGACCTATAGTAAAAAGTTCAAGCGAAACAAATGTATTCTTAAAGAGATACAAGTCGCAGAAAAAAATCACAAAAAAATATCATTTTTTGACGGGGTGTGATCTCAGAAAAAGTTTAATAAGTTGAGAATGGAGCGACATTTCTTAAAACAGCTTGTGTAGAAGCTCATCAAACACTAGTCTCTATAACGTGTGTATAAATGACTTAAATCAGTAACAATCGATTGAGCAAGGATTCGTTGTGGGTTATCTGAAGTAGTTCACAGAAAAATTTGTTTTGATATACATGTATTGTTATCAGTTTTCTAGAAACAATTATGTTTATAGATGAATTGAATATTAAGACAATGTATAAAATCTTTCTGCTTTTTTCTATTCGCAAAAAATATTTTTGTTAAAATTTAATATCAATTTAAACTAGGTTTTTTGTTACATATGTATTCGCAAGATTGGAAGGTACTGATAAGAAAATATAGTCAAGATAGATGTGAGAATGAACTAAGTTTGAATTCTAAATTGTTTTCAAATGTAATGAAATTCAATTTCGTATACAATATCTATATAAACATACGTATGTATAGATATATTCAGGTGTTCTTCTTCATAATATTATTAATCTTTCATATATAGATTCTTCATAAAATTATGAGAGGTATTTTATTTTCACATAACAGCGAGAAAAGAAAAAGAGAATAATGTCAAGTTGTAAGTCACATACAAAAAAGTACGCAACCATCATAGAGACCGATTAGCTATTCAAATAATCTTGCGTGTCAATTTTTTTCAATATCTACAAAACCATTCTCATAACTATGAAAAGGTTACAATAGTTATAAAATAGTGGAAGAAATATTTAATATTCTTTAAACAGCTATTAGTTTATAAATAGCTATTGGTTTTTATCATTAGCTATGAATTTTTAATTGCTGTGGTATGTTGAAATGGCTGCAGAGTTTTTAATCGGTACGCAAACTATAAATAGCTATAGAAAATTTACAAACATGTAGGATATTTGAATAGTCATAGGAAACTTCACGCAGCTAATATTAAGTAGATGTATGATCATTAAGTAGCTGTAGGATGATTAAGTAGCTATAGGAAAGCATTAAGTAGCTGTAGGTTCATTAAGTAGTTGTAGGAGAACATTAAGTAGCTGTAAAATGATTAAGTAGTTATAGGAAAACATTAAGTAGCTATAGGAGAATATTAAGTAGCCGTAGGTTGATTAAGTAGCTATAAGAAATCATTAAGTATATATAGGTTGATTAAATAGCTATTAGCTTTTTTTCAAAAGTATCTCTTTTGAGAAGCTACGTATAACACTGTACATTTACAAGTTCATAATTAAAAAATTCGTATGAATAAAAAATAGATAAAACAAATGTCACGTAATAATTTTACGAAAGTTATTCGAACAAAGAAAACCTTTTCTGCAAAGAAGCTGCAATCATTGTCTTATTGATGTTCTGAAATCGGACAACTATCTTGGAATTGTTTGGAGCGCGGTCAAAGTAATATTAATCGATCATATAGAATACATTGTCCGTGCTTAGTTTCATTTATTAATCAATATGAAAATGTCATTAAAGTTTTTTTTTACAGTTTATCTTCTTCCGTTTTGCAGTCTATAAAAGTGATATTTTGAAAATATAACTTTTATGACTTCAGATCATTTGAACACGAAAACAAATCAAATACGAATTCGAACTACAAAACGTTTCTTTTGAATTTTACGTCAGTTGGATAATTTAAAGAATCTTCCACCTACTGAGAGAATTTCTATGCTTAAAACTTATATTTCAACGGAAGAAAATTTCATTGAGAAAATGGTAGTAGAGGTTAAGAAAATAGAAAATTGAACTTTGTCTGCCGATTTTTTCAAACTAATTATATGTTTTTTAAGAAACGAATATGTGTATTTCCTTATTTATTCTTACAGTTTTTCATCAATCGAACTGGCAACTTTCTGATGGCTTGTTTTTACGTGAAAACGTAATAAAAATATGAATACAAAAATTCTCGGTCCAATGGAATAAGTTTTAGAAGTATACTAAGGTAGAATACTCAAGATGATTTATAACAATTATAATCGACTCATCTTCTAAAAAGTATTTTGCACTTATGGGTTTATGATAACTGTTCACCTGCAGTTGTACATAAAGTTTGTTAGCCTCAATAATGTGAATTTATTTTTTAAAATATAATATCTATGAAAAGTTCGAAAAGAGGTTGTCTAAATCATTGTAACAAATTTTGATCATTATAGAGACAAAGTAGTTTGGTGTCATGAAGTTCAAACCAAAAAATCAAGCACATTAACTCTGCAAGCCTAGAGAATAAAAACAGTTATATGTACTTACCTGTAAGAAGGTTTGTTTTCAATTTAGTTTCTAATCCTTTGATACCTCCAAATTTTTTTTGCAAGATATTTACATCTCTAGATTGCATCAGTTGATACAAATCATCCATCTTAATATCAAATAGAATAGGTACGTTTCCCATCGATTGCTTCGTCGAACTTATTATTATTTTTATTTACAAGGAAAGCTTTATATATATATGAATACGAATGGTAATCTATGCTAATATCGTGCATTGAATTACGAGAGAAGATGAAACCGAACAAATATGAATAATTAAACCAGTGGCTATGATACTGTTTCTCTTTGCATAAGTGTTTTGTTTCATTTTAAACAATACATAATTAAGGATAGAAAAAGAGTTATGTTACTCGTATTCGAAAGAAAGTTTTGAAAACAATCAATATTTGCAAGTGAAAAAAATTATCGAGTCTTTAAAAATGTAAAACATAACTCTTGAATAATGTTACATGAAACTGGTTTAAGTGTCCTTCTTCATTTTACAGTTCTAATAACCTGCATTTGTACTGATACGACTATAAACTTCTCTTCCAATGCAATCAGTGATCAAAATATTGTCTGATATTTGTTTTTATCCGATAGTAGTTCTCTAGTTTGAAATTGTATTTCAACATTTCCATCGTAGATGGACGGATAAAATCAATATTGGAAAGTTTTTCAATTTTATTCCCTCGACTGAAAGGAGGGTCATATGAAAAAAAATAGTTTGTATGTATGTATGTGTCAGGGTCAAAAGAACATACCAAAGAGGTTAGCTTATTTTAAGACTTTTGATCGTTTTGAGTGAACTTTGCCATAGGTTATCGAGGGCCCTGAATCCGAATCCATTGTCCATTTCGGTGGCCGAGGTCTCATTAGTTGAAAACCGACCAATCAGA